TATAGAATCCTTAGAAAAACAACACTTAATTAAATATATTTGATTTTATCCTTCAACCATTTTCTTTTTTTTTTTTTTTTAAATAAATAAATTTTTTTTTGTTCAATCGACGTTCAACACGTTCGTTAAAAGTAAGTTGTCTTGAAAGTAACATTAAAGATTTTACATTAAAATCGGTTGTGAAGCTTGCCGCATAGTTTCCTCTAAATGACGCTTTTGAACTTTTTTGTCCGATAGTGGAAATCGAAGAAAGATTGAGAAGTATGAACCTTCAAAGAACAGATCTTGAACTTAGGATAGCTCAAAGGCCTAATCTTGGAAAAGCAGGCCAGAGAGTCAAACTGAGAACTAATTACCTTAAAGTCAAGAGAGTAAATGATTAAATACTTTTTTTTCTTTAAAAAAAAAAAAAGAAACGCCCCGTTAATAATTGAATTTTCTCGTTTAGTTTCCAGACATTTCAATACATCAATACAGCTTCGATGTTTCTCCAAAGGTTAATAAACAAACCATTTATGAGATTTATTCAACCATCGCTGATAAGAATGGTTTCGAAAATTTCTTTGCCGTGTTTGATGGAAATTCCTCGATTTATTCGGCCTTGCCTTTAACAAATGATCGAAAAGGAAATAATTTCACGGTAAAAAAAGCTCGTGCACGTGATTTGCCTCATTGAATTCATCGATTCATTTTGATTATATAACAAGCAGATTACCATACAAACAAGAAGGAAGTCATATGAAGTTACAATTAAATTTATACAATGCTTAGGCCTTGATCAACTAAGGAATTACATTTCAAACCAAGGACCAATAACTAGTTCGGTTATTTTGTGTTTAGCGGCATTGAATTCGTATATCAACTTTAAAACTCGTCAGAAATACCTTACGGCCGGAAAAGGTATTTATCCTCCCAATAATCAAACAATAACCTTATCAGGAGGCGTTGAATTGAAGCAAGGATTTTATCAATCATTACGTCCTGGATGGGGTAATTTTTTTTTAATAATAAAAAAGATTTGAACTTTTTTAATTCATTACTTATTTTAATCAATTAAATGCAATTTTTTTTTTTCCCATTGAGGCGAATTGTATATTAATGTTGATATTTGCGCAGCAATTTTTTTCCCTTCTGGTGCTTTAATTGAGGTATTAAGGTTATTTGTTTCCTCATCGTAACGTTTTCTAATATTAAATGGTATTGTTCATTTTCTTTAGGTGATAGGCAAACATGTGTTGAAACGTAATGCACAAGAACTGCATGCTCAAGGAGTGAATGATCGTGATATAAATGTTTTGTCATGGGTAAATCATACCAACTTTACGTTTAATGTGCAAAGATTTTACCTTTATTTTTCGTTTTGTTTCTAAGAAAAAAAAAAATGTTCTACACCGTAGTACCTAAAAAATGTAAAAGTCGAAGCGATACACTGTCGCAATCGAAATTCTGTGTATAAAATTCGACGCGTCACAACAGAGCCGGCGGATAAACTTATGTTCCGTAACGAAAGGGAGAATAGAGATATGTCTGTTGCCGAATATTTTTATAATACATATAAAATTAAACTAGTATTCCCAAATCTACCATGCGTGCTCGTTAATCGGAACGTTTTCTTTCCCATTGAACTCTGTTATGTCCTGCCAAGTAAGTTAACCAAATTTCACGTGAATTTCACACACGTTCGACGGTTATTTAATTGAATTTTAATTGACGATAAACGCTAGATCAACGCTTCGAAGGTCGATTGACAGACGTTACGCTCGCCGATATGATCAGACACACATGTGTAAAGCCTCAAGAAAGATTTCGACGAATCTCGAATGCTATATCAGACATTTATCAACACGATAAAGATTCACACCTTGAGTCCATCGGCATGGAAGTTGACTGCAGCAACATGGTGGCCCTTAATGGTTTATATAAATCTTTTTTATTTATTTGACTAATTTACACGTTTCGATAAATTCTAATGTTCTTTTCAAATTTTAGGACGTGTACTTAATCCTCCTCGTTTGACTTACAATGAAAAAAGTCAACAATCAGAATTTACTCCTGAAAATGGACGTTGGAATATTATGAATAAAGTCGTTTGTCAGGTTAGGATTTTTTTTTTTTTCATGAAAAGTATGATTCTGAAGTATAATATAATTTGCTCACTAATATATTCTTAGGGTGCTACTTTAATAAATTGGGCGGTGGTTATTTTTGCTCGAGAGCGTTTTGCTCCGCAACAATTAGTGAGAACTTTCATGAAACGATTTCGTGAAATGGCCAATCAAAAAGGAATGAACATTTCGAGTGATCCTTACGTGATGTATTCTAATCCTCATGGTGACATTGCTACGGCATTGAGCGTTGCATGTCACAAATCACTAATTAACAAGGATTATCCACCACATATCATTATGTGTATTTTGGGAGAATCGGGACCATTATATGGGGAAATTAAAAGGATTGGAGATACACAATTAGGTATTCCAACTCAATGCGTTTTACTCAAATTGTTAGCAAAAACAGGTGGAATGGATCAAATTTGTGCAAACATTACATTAAAAGTGAATGCAAAGTTGGGTGGAAGAAACGTAATGTTATCCAATGATCAGATTAGTTTTGTATCTTCAGAACCGACGATGATATTCGGTGCTGATGTTTTTCATTCTGGTAGAGAGGATCATAGACCAAGTATTGCAGCTGTTTGCGCTACAATGGATTCCAAAGCTACAAAATATTCTGGAAGGTTTAGTGTTAACAAGGATCCTCGAAATGAAATCATCGAAGACCTCAAAGGAATAGTAATTGATTTACTTCGCGTATTTTACCTGAAAAATCAAGATTTGCCGAGAAAAATTTTGTTTTATCGGGATGGAGTTGGTGAGAATCAATTTCAAGACGTATTAAACTACGAAGTAAAAGCGCTTAAAGAGGTCTTTGCTAGTATTTACAGGAATTCCGGACCTAAATTAACATTGTAAGTACTCAATAATACCTTATGTAATTTAACGTACTAGAATTGATTACTAATACATATTATAGTATCATAGTTCAAAAAAGACATCATACTAGGTAAATATTTATATAAAAATTAAGACTACTTTATCAGTATACAAATGATTAATTATTCCTTTATGACAGATTTATGCCAACCGAACCACACGATGGAGATAAATTAGGGAATTGTCGTCCGGGGACGGTTGTTGACACAACAATCCTTGTTCAACAAGGGTTCGATTTCTGTAAGCGAAATAAAAATTTTTTTATTTTAACCTTATTCCATTATTAATGTTATAACCAATTTTTCATTTCAGACTTACAATCTCATTCCAGCATGCAAGGAACATCCCGTCCAATTCGTTATAACGTTCTTTATGATGAAAATAATTTCTCTGCTGACGGAATTCAAACATTAACCTACCGATTATGTTATCTATCCGCTAGGTTGGTGGTCCAACTTTCATTTTCAACAGGATTAGATTCATAATTTTCAGACAATGTAAAGTAAAATTTTCTCACTTTTTTTTAAAAAGGTGTACGTTTTCAATTTCTCTGGTTCCACCAGTTTATTACGCTCATCTAATTGCTAATCGCGCGAAACATTATTATCGTTGGGAAGGAGAGAGAGGATCAGATGACAGCAGAGAAAGCGGAATTAGTATGGGATCAATTGAAGAAGTCAAGAATGGATTGGCCGATGCGATGTTTTTCGTTTAAACTCGGATCAACAATTCCGATAAAAAATTTATGTTGCACAGGTTTTATCTCCAAGTATATAAAACACACTGTACATGATACACAAAAATAAAAGAAAAAAATTTTTATCATCATGTGATTTGATTTGTGATCACCTGATCTGCACATGTATAAAAAAAAACCGCTTTCAAAAACACGTCATTTCATCAATGAAAGCATTAAAAGATTTCAAATCTATAATAGATATTTAATTATCAGAAGTATTACAGAATTCAATACAATAAAATATTTTACAGACTTCAAAGAAAATTATGATGTTGCAACAACACATTAATTGTTTTCTTTAGAATTTGAACAATGTATTAGCCTAGGATACTAACCAACAAAGTATATTATATGATGATGAATTATGAAAATTAAAAGTAATCATTTATTATTCTCTACGTAAATTATTCAGCCTTGCCTGCAAGGCCGCGTCATTACTAGACTCCAATTCCTCGATCTGTTCTTTTTGTGATGTTCTCTCAATTGAGCTTGGTGTATCTACCAGCTAAAAATTTAAAATAGTGAAATGAATAAATATTCGATAAAAAACAAAGAGAGATCCTTATAGGTATTATTTACTAAAGAAATGCAACATACCGATTGATCCAAATTAATACCAATTTCATCCAAAACTTGATTCACAATTTCATCGGTTTCCTCTTCATCCTCCTCCTCTGCCATGGTGTCGTCGATAACATCATTCATCATCTCTTCTTTCATATCCATAATCTCGGATTCTTTCTCAAATTCCATCATAATCTTTTGCATCGCTGGCAGGTTCATTTGCCGATTCATAGATTTCATAGCCTATATAGTACATACATACTCATGTAAATAATTGATAAATAATTGATATGATCTTCCTTCAGTTGAACTTACTTTTGTTGCCCCTTTCATGGCTTCGGACATTTGTTGATTTGATCTTAGGGTCTGTTCAATGACAAGATGATGAATGTAACCAATGGAAAGTTTAAGATGATCACGAATTAATTGAAAAAAGTAAATTACCTGAATTCGCAATGAAACAGCTTGAAGTTGAGTTTTCATTGCTTGAAACTTTTGAGAGTATCGTCGAGTCCTAACAAGATCTTTGGCCATAATTTTACAAGCTGCCTATCAATAAGTAATCATGTATAATGAAAATGATAAGACGAAAAAAGATTTCTTTTGGTGGAAATTCTGTTTGCATTGTTTGACAAAAGTTTACTATTGACAGCCCATACCATTTGATTTGCTTTAGCTGCCTTTTTTATATCTGCTATCAATTTTTTTTCGGAAACGTCAAGTTTTGACTTTTCACGATCCATTTCGCGTTGTGCTTTCTGAAGAGAACGTTGATGTTGTCGCAGCAATTCAGCCGGGGTTTTTTGACGTCCAAACAACATTTCCTTAAAAAAAAGACGTATTGTTAAGTAAATATGTCGTTTAAGATGTCAATTGTCACATCCTCGAGATATACAATTTAGAAGGGCAAAACTTTTTACTATACCATCATTTTGAATAATTGTTAATCTTTTATAAAAATCGGAGAAAACGTTATGGTTTTGATAAATAGTATCAAAGGGAAAGGTTTGCGTCATGCTTTTGCATTTAAAACATCTGGCAAATTGCCAAGATAATCTATCATGTGATATGTGAAAAAGTCTCGTGATTTTACTTTTTTTGTATAAATATCGGAAAATTTTTTCGCGTTTTTTTTTTTTTTTTTTTTTTTTTTAAAAAAAAAAAAAATCATGCCTTCTTGTAAAGGGATACGTCAAGAACTTGTTAATTGTATTCTTAAATCTGACTGCGTTCTAATAAAACGACATACTGTCAAGGGTTGGCCATTTCTTTTTTGAACCTTTCCATTTAAAAATATATCTTTTTTTTTTTTTTTTCGAAAGAATGGGACCAACTTTCATTTTATTAAAACAAATTTTAATGAGCCTTTTTTTCGGTTTAGAATGCTTACAGCCAGAACATGCTAATGATGTTCCCATAGAATGTCAAAGCATTCGAAAGAGTTTTTTTGAATGTCGAAGAGGTTTGGTAAGTTAACTTTCAATTCTTATATAAATTCTATTTCGTTAGATGATCTTCTAACCTTTATCCGAAACGTAGCTTGATATGCGAACTCGATTTCGTGGCAACAAATCATAAAATATTTTTATCAATACGTTCAAAAAGATTTAATTAGCCAGCTATCTGATAACCCTACCGACGGGTTAAATATATGGAGGAATTTTGTTTAGTGGAAATTTAGGTTAAACTTAACGACGCGCTTATTTTATTAGAACACTTCAACAGAAAAAAGACCAAAAAATAATATTATTAAATACTATAATGAACTTAATTAATGCTAACAATTTACGTTTCTAACTGATAAACATTAAAGAGGAGATATATAAAATATGTGAAAAGAATTTCTATGAATCTGTTAATTTATTTGCACTTTTCTATAACATATCGGCCGATCTTCGGACTATACGTTGGATCTTTTTCTTGAATGTCGGATAATCTTCACGCCATTCTTTCTATAGAAAAGAGGAAAAAAAAAACAGATCAGATATCGTACGATACAAATTATTTGAATTCAGTAAAAAATATCTTACAGCAGCTTCAATGTTTGCGGGAGATTCATCATTAGGAGTTGAAAGCATCGAGATAACACTCAACAAAATAGTTTCAACTGTATGCACTGGCATCCATCTTTCACCCGCGTCCTCGTAGCCATATTTATCTTCGCCAGGGGGATGCTAATGGAAGATTCGAGGTCAATGTTTGAATATATATAAATTAAGAATATAATGTGTAATTCTTACCAAAATTGAAATGCAAACTTCACCGTCAGGATAAACTAAGATAGATAGAATATGTGAGAAAATAGTCAACGCAATTAAATAATCTATTCACGTACCATTAGGATGCCACATATCAGACATGAATTTCAGCTTTGGAGGCATCAATGGATAGTCCTAAATTAAACGATGAAAATTACTAATGCATATGCTTATTGTAAAATCATTGATATAACTAAAAGTGATACTTGCCTTTGGAAACGACATTCTTGCTCTGAAAAATCCACCCTCACTAGATATTAAGAAACATTATAAGATGCTAATTATCGTACGATTCTCGCATCATTAGCTCAACTTACTATAAAGTGTCCTGTGGTCCAATGATCATGATTTCCCACTTTAAAATAATAAAAACGTTCAGAACAAACGTATATACTTTTAAAACTTTAGACCTATTAAAATCTCATACCTTACAGGAAAGGATTTAAAATCAACTCGGAGTATTAAAAAAATAAAATAAAAAATAAAATAAAAAAATAAAAGGTCTATCATACCTCATAAATGTTATCATTGTCAACAAGTCCCGCCGAAAACCCTTCTACGGGATGCTTTGACAGTTCTAATTATCAGATATGATGAATAAGCTAGCTTTCACAAGAAAATCCCAAAGGAATTGGTCAAAACAATAATTACCTTTAAGCTGTTTTTGAAGAAGGAGAGTAGACTGTGAGGTGATTGCTGGAGATGCCATAATCGTTCGAAATTGTATAAATTAGCGAAACAATAGAATATAATACGAAGTCCGAGTTCGCGATAGCAATTTATAAAAATAAAATTGGTCTCGTGAGCGGTTTGGGTGTGAATTCAAGACGACTACTAAATCAGGCTAGCATGCAAATCACAACAAAAATCACCCTTTTTATCCTTACATAATGAATTGATTTTTGACGGTCTGAATTGATTATGATTTTTCCAGACGTAATTCAATCTTTATTTGTTTAAACATGTCTTACATTAAAACCGTTTTTAATTTAGCCCAATTCAATGAACTAATTGCGTCGCAAAAATTGGTATGTCTTACAATATTTCACTCTAGATTTTCACATTAACTTATACTTAACGTTATTTTACAGACTGTAGTCGATTACCACGCCGTGTGGTGTGAACCATGTCGTGTGATCGCTCCAATCTTTCAACAATTGAGTACGAAATTTAGGCATGTTAATTTTGCAAAAGTAAGAATTGACTTAATTTGAAATATTACGGGTTCCGATCGGAGCTCTATTCTCATTTTCAACCAAATTATTTTTTTTAGGTCGATGTTGATCAAGCCAGAGAAGTCTCGGAAAAAGAGGGTGTTACTTCAATGTAATTCGGCATTCCTTCTCTGTTAAGTTTCTAACTGGTACTAATTAGCAACTAACACGAATTGTACATATCGTCATTTAGGCCAACTTTTAAATTTTACAAAAATGGAAGCGAAATTGCAAAATTAACAGGTGCTAATCCAGAAGGGCTCAGACTTTTGGTTGAGCAACATGCGGGAACTCCTGAAGAAAGTGGATCAAGCAATTTAATCGTTCAAGGTCATGTAAGTGAGATCAATTTTATTTTATTTTATTTTTGCACTTTAATACGTTTTTTTTTCTTAAATTTGATTGGATTTTAAAGTCAGATATCAATGAATTCATCACACTGAATCAAGTCGATTGTCTTAATCAGGGAGAGAATCATGGCATTAGAAATATCTTTAAAAAAGATAACACATATTTAGAATCCGATGTAGATGAACAACTTTTGATTTCTGTACCTTTCAATCAAGCCGTCAAAATCCATTCTCTAAAGATTGTTGCAAAAGATATTGGTAAATAAGTTTCCCCCTTCTCCCAGGATTTTTAAATTTAAAATTTTAATATTCATCACAATTCATTGCTCTCTTTCTATATCTCTCCCCGAAGAACATGCCCCAAAGACAATCAAGATTTACGCCAACAGATTGAACATTGGATTTGATGAGGTTGATTCAATTAAAGAGACACAAACCCTCGAATTGGACGAAACGCATTATGAAGAAAATGCCATTATTTCTTTAAGATTTGTTAAGTTTCAGTGTGTCACAAATATTTCTGTAGGTGTTATTACATGTATATGCATTTTTTTTTTTTTTTATTCTACAAATAAATATTTGATAATATATTCTACTATTAGTTATTTGTACAAGATAATCTCGGGGACGAAGAAACAACCATCATCAAGGAATTGCATTTCATTGGGTAATTTTTCATTTTTTCCATTTTATTAATGCAGCATGATTCTCATTTTCATGATAATTTTGTAGGTCCCCGGTGGAAACAACCAAGATGGAACATTTAAAAAAAACTGAGCAATAAAAAAGATTAAAAAATAAAAATAAAAAAATTATAGGGATCTATCTTATTTAACAACGTTATACATTGTTTTACAAAAATTGATTATAATAAGTATCAATTATATAATAATGGTTAAAAGTATACGAGTCCTCATTCTGCACAGTAAATGTTAAACGAAAAAAAATATATTCTTAATAAATTAGTCTATCTACAATTATTAAGGAAATTCTTTTTGTGAATATGCGAAAGAGTCTATACATATTGTTATTACTCCGATGAATATTTCCAAAGCTAAAATAAAAAAAAAGAGAAAAAAAATTACATTTAAAATTTAATCAAGAATTTGTAAATCATTTTTTTTCCCGGGTTACACTTACCAATTAGAACAATTACAATCCATTCAAGTTGTTCGCCTGTAGTTCAGCAATGAAATATAAACATGAGTGTTAATTAAGATAAAAATAGGAAGATTTTCATATAATAATTCACAAACCGTGAGAACTCGTCAAGTGCTCTTTAAGCATGTCCAAAAGATCACCTATATAAAGTCAAAGTTGTTGAGTATATTTATAAGCACATGATATGCATTGAAAAATGAATTCAGCATACTTATTACGGCTACTCTTTGATTTAATAATTCTACGCGTTGCGAAATCTCAAGATAACCTTCAAAGCAAAACTTTGTTAATACATAAACGCACATTAAATGTATAGATAGAGATTAATTCTTACCCCTTATGGCTGTATACAAAGGTTCGTATGAGGGCTCTGACCAAAATATTTCTGGAGTATCTAAAATGTTACTAACCAAATTTACATTGATTCTCATAATGAACAACTATTTCGAACAAATATTCATTAAGTAAACAAAACATTTAACAGCACCAATGATTTATCTATAGTATAAAACTTGAATATTACCTGTCCGATTTTCTTGGTAATGGCCGTTCTACAAATTACGCGAAAAAAAAGAACAAAATTATAATAATAAAAATAATTAGATAAATGTATAAATATTACTACCCCCATATTCATTATATATATGATTAATAAAAACCTGGACATTTGAACTTTTCCTGTCTCAGCCATAGTTTGTGGAATATGTTTAGTCGCTTCAATTGTTTCTTCAATCAATCCTTCAAATAAAGTCATTTTTACGGATTGTGCAATAGCATGAGATATTGTAAGTTTGACCATATAATTGCCGGCATTTTTAAGAGTTATCACATCATTATAAATTCTGAGGTGATCTCGTGACATTTAATTAAATGGCAATAATACAATCATTAAACAAAATATTATGTTACAACATATTACCTTGGTTGATACGATGCAGCGTAGTGGTAATGAAATTCTTCGGTTTCAACATCTTCGGAACCTATCAAATTTAAAATGTTAAAATCGAAAATGATTGTATATTATCCACACAAAAGTACAATATATATATAATTCTCACCCAATTTTTCGTCTTCAAATGGAAAAAGTTCTCGCAATAAATCCTTCTCCTCGTCTTCTTTCATACCCCATATCACTACGACGCCGTATTCAAAGAAGAATACTTCAGAGATATGTTCTTGTAAAAGAGGTGAAAGTAATGAATCATCAAGACCCAAAAGATCAGCAACAGGCGGTTTAGGTGTCTTGAAGGTAAACGGAGTGTAAATACTAAAAATTATGAGACACAAGATCAGAATCCTTTGTCAATTAATATACGTTTCTCTTTTGACCCTACCATTCATCAAAACGTTTAGGCGTCGACCCGTTTGTTGATTTTCGGCTTTGGAGATTCTTGAATAACTCATCTAGCCGATAAGCTCTAAACGTGAAACATTTAAAATTTTAATTACAATTTTAACATAAAAAAACTATCCTCCTATCTGTGTGTATTTAGTAAAATACTTACGAGGCAGTGCAGTAGGCGGTTACTCGAGGAAGTAGAAGCCTCTCTTGTTTACTGAATTTTTCTGCTTCAATTCGAGCAGTACCTTTAGGTAATTGTCCAATTTGATTGTAAGTTTCATTTGTTTCAGCAGGAGGAGCAGCTTCTTGTTCTGCAGGGAACAACTTAAGCTTTTGAGAAGTTTTTGTTGTTCTATTCGGCTGCTTTCCTTTCGTACGTTGTCTGCCAGGGATTTGAGGTTCGATTTGAGGACTACTCACCCCCTGAGGAGAGTTTGGTGAAGGAGTAATAGTTGGGAGAGGCGTATATTGTCGTTTTTGCATTTTGATGGAGTTTTATTATAAAATGTGAAAAATATCATTTATCAACAAAACCGGTTACACGAACTGAAAAACCGCAGTCACGCACAGACCATTAAACTACCAAACTTGTATTTTTTTTTATTCGATTATTTTGCGCGTTTAGATCTAGTTTAGAGAATTTAACTTTACTCTTCGTAAAGATCAAACACTTTTCATATTTGAGACTCCATTTTGTTTATATTTCATTGTAGATTGATTATTAAAATGTTCAAAAAAAGAGCAAAAAGAATTCGAACTAAAATTAATGATGAGGAAGAAATCAGCATTGATGCCATACCTGCTGTAAATTCAGAAACAGAAAAGGATCAAAAGAAAAAAGTTAAAGGGAAGACAAAAGTTACCCTTAGTTTTGGAATCGATGAGGCATGTTCATTATTTAAAAGTACAAATTATTTTTTTAAACATTTTTGACAATTTTGACAAGTGTCCAACTCTTATTGTTTAACTATTTGAAGCAAAATTCTTTGATCGTTTCTAGGAAGAACAAGAAGAAGCCTTTCAAATAACAAAAAGTGCAGCGAGTCGTCGACTTACGAAATCAAAATCCAAAAAACTTCATCTTGATCAGTTTAGTGTCTCTCTTGAAATTTTTTAATTTTCTTAATATTCTTAACTCTAACATAAAAGGATGCTTGTTTATTAGTAAATCAATTCCTCAAAATTCAGATCCAATCATCACATCTTCCTATACCGAAGAAATTTTATCAGAATTACGTGCCAATACACCAGCAACGCCAGCCTCCTTTCAATCTCAAGATAATATTGGAGAAAAGTTTCCACTGACTCTTGGTATAGAAATATTTAACAATTAAATTAATTAATGGTTCTGTTTTAGGTCATCCCTAATTGTATTCTTTTCAGATCCTAACTTTGATATACCCGATGCTGGAGCTATTAATGCAGCTAAAAAAGAAAGGGAGATGCGACGAAAGAAGGGACTATCTGATATTTTAGAATATATTCCATTATCAGAGGACACGGATGTAATTAATTTTATAAACTATGATTTTATTATTATTATATATATTGAATTGATCATAATATTTGAATAGGTTATAACTTCATCAGGCAAAAAAATGGAGTCAAGATTGGTTCGAGAAGAGGACGAGTTGGGTGAAGCAGATGAAGGTTAGTGTCCATGGTCTATATGTATTATCATTATAATCATTGTAAGTTAACGTTATAGTGCACGAGTCGATAAATTTGTCCAATGCTAAATTCACATTGGGAGCTTTCAGCCATGGAGTTGTCGTTGACCTATCCAATCAGAATATTGCAAATACTATAACGATATTATCTTGTAGATTATTCAGATATTCGAAAAAAAGAATGTAGTTTTAAACTAATATCTAAGCTTTGTAATGTATATGTAGAACTCGAACAATATTTGAACGAAAAATTGGCTATTGGAAAAAAGGCCAAAAGAGAACAGGAACGACTTAAAAAAGTAGACATTGAAGAAATGATCATGGATGTGTATGTATATACTAATAATTTTAGGGAGTCAACCCCTTATTATATAGCTAATTATAACATCATTACTTTCATGATAGAAATTTTGAGGAAGAGGATGTTGAATTATTGCAGCGGGAGTTTGAAGCCATGAAAGCAGGTGGACACAATCCTAAGAAATCTTCAAAACGAAAATTCGATAAAACACAACCGATTGTGAGGGCTAGAAGTAAATATTTGTTATTTATGTTTGTTTCATTGCCTAAATTCTCTATATGATTTAATTCATTTACTTTTTTTTTAGTGCCCATTATTGTTCCTGTACCTACGTTAAATGAGGTTCAATCGACTCTGGAAAGTCAATTGATGGATCTACAAGTTCTGCATAGTAATCATCAAGCTGAACTCATCCAAATACAAAAAGACATCGACAGCCTTACATCCTCTAATACACAAATAGAGGTTGAGATGCAAAATACGAAAAAACGATATAATTATTTTCAAGATCTTAAAACATTTGTCGAGAATCTTGTAGAATTTCTTGATGATAAGGTAATAATAGTTATAATAAGAACATCGAAAATATTGGATTTTTTTTTCTTATTTATGATATATTAGTTTCCAACACTAGAGAAACTCGAAAATGATTACCTGGAAGTACTTACTGAAAAGTCACAACTTATTATGCAAAGAATCATCAAAGAAGATTCTGAAGATATCGCATTATTTATCAATATGAATATTAGTAAGTGTATTTTATTACAATTATTTTGAAGAGAAATTATTATAAATTTGTAAATAACATGAATAATCGTCATCCTAGAAGGTGAACAGATTCAGTCTGATGAAATTAAGGAAGAAGGATTTTCTACAGATGAAGAATTTTATGATAAAGAAATTGAAAAAGAAATTTATGGAAAAATAGGTTTCAACTTTTCTTGTATATTATTTGCTTAATTACCGTATTAAATAAAATATTCATATTTATTATTTGTTTATTTATAGATGAAATTTCTTATCAACGTACCAGTTTATTTGAAGATGTAATTGAGGATTTTAAATCAATTGCATTTGTCAAGTC